GACTAGGGCACACAAATACAAAGTCATCTTCAGCTAAGAAAGTTTTATTTTTCTACCAGGGTGGTTGGCCTCTGGAATGGGTTGCCTTCAGATGTTGTGAAGGCAGCAAATTTAAGTGAGTTTAAGAGAAAGCTTGATAACTATATGAATAGTAAGGGCTGGCTTTAAGATTTCTTTGTTTTAAATTTATTTATCTACTAGTTTTAATTTAGTTTAGAGGATGGAACAGCCAAGATGGACCAATAGGTCCCTTGTCATCTCTAAACATTATGTTATATTACTACTCAAGTTTCAGAACTATAAGGTGGGTGAAAATGTGTTTGTTTCTTGAAGATAAATCACACTGTCAGTACATTTTGAGGAAAAATCTATTTAATTTTTTAAATATTAACTATTGATAATAAACAAATGTTACCAATCATAACAAAATAATGATAGATTACTAAATTTTACTACTGAATTCATTTGATCCTGCTCTTTCTGAAGAACCGCTTAGAAAAATTTACTCATTGTTATTTTAACACATAATATACACACAATAAGAATGTTTAAAGAGCAGACATTTGAAAATGAATTATATAAAATATTAGTCTACTGTTTGGTCTTTACTCAAAAAATTAATATTTTCTAGAACTAAGTATTTTAGAAATTTTCCCTCGCAAAATATATAATAAAATTTTATGATACCAGAAATTTTATATAATGATAAATGCAATTTTTTTAGCTGTTTGTAAGACAACAGACTCATTCTAAAATATTCAAAAGCTAATTCTCATTCATAGTCATTATTTAAAAAGATGATCAGATATGTACAATGAATAAATCACAAACAAAAATAACTGTATTGTATGATCTAATTGTATATAAGTTATCTTGTAAAAAATTCAAAATCAGCAACTTACCAAATTATATATGATCGTGTATTTCCCCCATCATTTGCTGGAAGCCAGGAAAGCATGGCCGAAGAAGCACTTGTGACGACTGTGACATTAGTAGGAGCTTGTGCTGTTGTGCCTGTTATATCGTGACCATACATGAAAAATACATTATTTTCAAACCTTATGTTTTAATAATAAAGATAATATTTGGAATACACAAGCAAAGGATAAATAAAAAAATATTAATCAAATTTCTCTTCTGAAACCTATCTACCTAACCTGATAATATTTTCAGTTTGATTTTGGTATCAATGAATGTCATTACTAACTGTGTACAGAGGCCAAGTCAGATTAATAATGTTTTTATTCTATATAGCAGTAAAACATGTTCTGTGAAAGATGTTAATATGCATTATTTACTATCTATTGTATCAAGTGTTTTGGTAGTTATTTGCTGTTATTTCTTCTAGTTGTAATTAGTAATATATTCTTACATGTATACTTATGAGATGAGATGAAATTTCATTTGAGACTTTTTATAATTGTTAACGCTTCCTACTTTGTAGACTAAACAGTTTAATGCTTTACAATAACAAGTGGTACATGCCCATCTACAAACTGCAATTACCTGAAGCCTTTTTTGTGTAAATGTCATGCATTAGTTGATAACAACTAGTTCAGTAAAAATATTTAGGAAGTTAAAAGCTGCTACTAATACAATGATTTCTTGTTATACTTAAAGGGTAATAAAGTTTTAATTTCTAAGGTTTCTTCTTTAAGCAGGTACAAATTTAAAAAAGTACTTTAAAACTGTAAGCAGAGAAATTACAAATAAAATAGAATATGAAAATTGTATTTTTCACTCTGTTTGACTTAGAGATAAAAGTTTTTAGCATATGTTTTGTTTGGTAATTCTCTCTACAGTCTTAACCTGTGACCTTCATTGAGCATGGTTGACTAACACTGCTTCTTCATTTGTATGTCTAGTAAGTTATTCAGAATAAATGAGATTAAAATTAATAAATAGGGTTCACATTACAGCAACCTACAAAAATGTTTCTTTTTTGGTCTTGGGAGAGTATACAAGAAATAAGAATTCAAACAAACCAGAGATTACTGTTGGATACTATAAGATACAAGAGCTTCAGACATTGGTAATTTTTAGTTATTTGTTCATAAGAACAATAGTATAATACCTACATTTCTAGAAATTTGGCCCTGATGCTAGCAATTGTTAGTGGTTTACCCTTTAGCTCGGTAGGTAGAGCGCGTGTGAACCCAAGACGAGGAAATAATAATATTGAAATTACCACAAGAAAAATTACCATCCATTGTGGGGCTGCCCCACGAAACTGAGATTAGGCCCAAGGATGGGCTTTGTTTGTGACAGAGGAGGAATGGTGCAAAATTACCATGAATGTCTCAAGAAAATTTTTGGCCCAGTCTATAATAATGAGATACCACAATTGAAAAGACAATATATAAAATTTACATTAACTAACACAGCTTCTAGTGGTTACAAGTAACATCAAAGCAGCACGAATAAAAGGGGTTGGTCATATCTTGCAGTCAAGAAAGAGAAATATATAAAATGGTTATATCGGGCAGAAGACTGAGAGGTAGGCATCGGACAAGATGGATAATGTGATGGGGAGTGATTTTAATTTATTAGGAATGGTTGGTAATCTGAGATGTCAGGGGACAGAATAAGATGGTGGGAACAGTTACAGTGGGCAAGAGTCTCAATATGCCTATCATGCCAGAGAAGTGAGTGTGTTTGAGTTTGTAAAAATTATAATCTTAGACTATGATATGTTACAGTTTGAGAAACTTTAAATTGGCACAAGCAGTGATGGAAAATTTTGTAGATACATATTTATCCATTTAGGGCTTAGCAATATCTTTTAGAAGACTTGGACACTTTATGGGAGAAGATACACAAAACACTGCTTTCTTGAGAGGAATTTAAATAGGAATTGTTGTCAAGAAAATGTATATATATAACTGTCAGTTTTATGGGTGCTGGATTCTTTACAGTAGGTGTCTGTGACTTGTTGGTGATAAATTTCAACAATAAACAGACAGCACACAAATAATATATTCAAAACAAGTCAAATGTATGTAAAAAATTCTTTACACTATAAGTTATCACAGTTATATCAAGAACTTTAAATAATTGTCTCTATTTTGTCAAAGTCCACACAGGAGGGTTCAATTACTTTAGAACAACCTTTGACAAAACAAATTATTCTCCTCTGTCTCTCTCACTGCAAAACAAACTGTGAAATTCACTTCAAAATCACCACTATAACTGTTTGTTACCACAGCTGTATCCAGAGCTTTAAATAACTTTTCTCCTTTTTAACAAAAATCCACACAGGCAGGTTCATTTACCTTAGAACATTCTTTGACAAAACAAATTATTCTCCTCTATCTCTGTTATTACAATAAAAGCTGTGAAACTCACTTTAGAAATACCCCATTACAACTAAACTGGCAATCACGCAGTCTAACTTCACTGTTACTTTCACTAACTTAATTTGCTCTCTGTATCTACACTTATTTGTAATATAGGACAGAAAAATCTAGAAATATCTAGCCCTCTAATAACAACAATATTACACATAATGAGAAAAACTCGGAAGCTTTGAGTAAGATGACTTCAACAATATTATAAATGACTAGTACAATTAAACTACATACACAGTGTATGACTTGTACAGAATTAGGTAAGGAAACTTGTCATAACCATTGCTTTTAAAATAATTAACTTTTAAAACTCTTGTTATGAAAACTAAATAATCATTGAATATTAAATCACTAAATAAACTAAACAATAACTCTTAAACTCTTTTTTTATACTGTATACAAGACTGTTTTCAGTTCATATACAATGTCTACTTATACAGTCTGCACAAACATTTGCAGTCCCTTTGATGGCTTCAATGCAGAGCCTGTAGTCCTGGAGATACAATGTCCACTTCAATGATCCCCTCACACTGTTGATTTTGCACCTCTGGATGTATGCAAGGGGTTGATGGTCTGTCTGGATGGTGAACTTCTTCCTGTAGAGGTAGTTCTGGAATTTCTGGATGGCAAATATGACGGCCAGACATTCTCACTCAATCACAGAGTAGTTATTTTCACTACTCAACAGCTTTTTACTTATGTAAATTACTGGAAGTAGTCTATCTTCATGTTCTTGTAGGAGTATTGCTCCAATTCCAATGTCTGAAGCATCGGCCTGAACATTGAATGGCTTGTTGAACTGTGGTATTCTAACGATTGGCAAACTTCCCAACATGTTCTTTAGCTTCTGGAATGCTATCTCCTGTGGTTGTTCCTACTTCATCTTGTTGGGCAGACCTTTCTTCATCAAGTAAGTCAGTGGTGCAGCAACTTCAGCATAGTTTGGGATGAACTTCCTGTACTATCCCACTAATCCTGGGAAGGATGTGACTTGCTGTTTGGTCTTGAAACTGATGCATCTTTTTTTGCAGATTAGCTTCTCTTTTCCCTGGAAGTCTGTCAGTCATCCATCTTGTGTCCAATGAAGTCCAGCATAGAAAAGCCAATGTAACACTTAAATGGTCTGATGGTTAGACCTGCTGCCCTCATTTGCCCAACCAACTCTCAGAGATTCTTCAGATGGTCTTTCCATCTGGCTGTGTGGGACAGAATGTCATCCACATAATGCTCAATATTGGAGGTTTTGTGCAACATCTTCCTCATCATGCAGCTGAATGTTGCTGCTGAGTTGACTAACCCAAACAGCGTTCTCTTAAACTAATAACATCCATGTAGTATCGCAAAGGCTGTCTTCTCTTTAGATCCTGTCACCATCGAGATCTGCCAATAATCTTTACTAAAGGCAATCTTTGAAAAAACTTGGCCCCGTATAGTTTTTCCATGATACCCTTTAGTTTGTCCATAGGTTCTGAGTCCAACTTCTTCAAGAGGTTCAGTTTCCAGAAGTCTATGCAGAAACAGTGTGAGCCATCACTCTTCTTCACGATCACCATTGGTGAACAGTAGGCTGAATTTGAAGGCTCAGTGATTTCAGCTTCTAACATTATCTCAACTTCCTGCTTGATCAGGTTTCTCATCCCATAGGGCATCTGATAGGGCTTCACCTTGACTGGATCCTTGATCATGGTCTCATTCTCATGTTGCACAAGGTCTGTCTTGCCTGGTCTATCTGTGAAGACACCTACTGGCACAGTAGATCTTGTAGCTCTTTATTCTGCTTGACAGTCAGTTCTTCACTGATGTTGACACCTTTGTATGTTTCATCTCCACTCAGTGGTCTTAGGTCTTCATCTTCTATAACAAAGTCACTGTCTTCTGGTTCTGTATCTATGACAGCTACACCTGCCATATCCATCTGTCTCAATAGCTGTTAGGTTTTCTTCCCTCTCAAAGTACCTCTTCAACAGATTGGCGTGGTAGATCTTGATCTTCCACTTCACTTTCACTTTATAGTCCATTCTGTTGACCACTTCCTGCACTAGAAAAGGTTCTTTCCATTGCAGGGTGAGTTTGTCATAGAAGTGCTTCTGACTGCCTTTGATGTGTTTAGCTTCCCCAGTAGAACTACTTTTATAAATCTGGTACAGTATTCCTTTTTGGTCCTCTGTCTTGTAAGTCTCTTTCTTCTTTGTCATGTGTATGACTTTCTCACAGGCACTGTTCCAAAGTTTTTGCAGGGAAAGGTCTTTCTTCTGTGCTTCCTTCAGTTCCCATAAATGTACATTTGGAATGTTACCTTTCAAGACTTGCAGGGGTTTGATGTCTTGCTTGCTTTTCTTTTATTGAGCTCTAGTGATGACTGCAGATGCCTCATCAGTCTACTTTCTGTCTGGTTCCTTTAAACTTCTCCTGCCTGGTATATTGCCAATCACCAAGTTGTAGATGGGTGCCTTCATACATATAGCCTCAAGGTCTCTCAAATAGTATGGAGTGTCCACCTTTATTCTTGCTATGGGAAACTTTCTCATTGTTCCTTGCTTGTCATCTGGCTATCAGATACTAGACTGATTATCATTGTTGCACTACCACACTCAGTGTCTCATAGGACTTTCACTTTCTTGTTCCCAACATAGCCTTTACCTACTGGTATGTTGTGATTTGTTGGCACTTTTGACCCATTTATTAACTTGAGCTGACCATCAGTCATGCACTGTTTAATCATGGAAATAGCACTTCCTTCTTGTGGTAAATCTGACAAGTTGTCTCTATTCTGTTTCTTGTGGCAGTAGCATTCATGGTGATGGTCACTCTTTTCTTACCAGCACTTTGTAGGTAGCTCCAGCTGCTTTATGTTGAAATATCTGCTGTTGCTTGTTGGTGACAGACTTGCATTCATTTGCAATGTGCCCCATTTTATAAGAAATAAAGCATCCCTTCTTCCTATTGTCTGTTATGTTTTTGTCACCTTTGGTGCTATCCTGTTTCTGGTCAGTTGCCACTGGTTTTAACTTTAACTGGTTCTGCCAGCTTGATCATCTCATCCATATCTTCTTTTGATGCTCTCTATTTTAGGAACAGTGACATGTAATTTGTGTATTTGATCAAAAACTGTTCATGTATTAGTAAATCTGCCAGTCCTTCAAAACTGTTTTCACACTTGGCCATGTCAGTCCACCTTGTGAGGTATCACCATAGACGTGCCACAAACTAAAATACTGTTTCTCCAGTGTCAGGTTTGACTTCTCTGAATTTCTTGTGAAAACTTTCCTTTGCAAGTTCATAGAATTTCAGCAACACCACATTTAATTTGTCATAGTTCATGGCATCTTCTGACGTCATGCCTGCATATACTTGTAGGCCTTTTCCTGTGAGAAGTGGGCTGAGACAGACTACCCAGTTTCCTTTGTCTCAGTTCTGACTTTTGATAAATCTTTCATAACTCTCCAAGAAAACATCCATATCATCTTTCTGTTCATCAAATTTGGGCAACTTTGGTTGGCTGGCCCTGATCCCAATGTCATTCCTGGGTCCTTCATCTTTCTGTTGAGTGAGATTTGTGATCTCTATTTGTGCTTTTATATTCTCTATTTTCAGTCTCTCCTCTCTCTCTCTCCTTTAATTCTTTCTCCATTTGTGCTCTCATTCATTCTCGCTCTTTATTTCAAGTCTCTTCTTTTCTTATTTCAATCCAGTATAGAGATTACAATCATGCTATATAACCATGTAGACTGATTTTGAAAAATGGATAGAGAGAGGTGAGTGACATGGGCTAAACGATACCGATCTAATAGAGTTTGTTAAACAATAACAAGAACTAGAGAGAGAAGAGCATCAACAGAATAAAGAGAGCAGGAGAGACAGAAAAGAGAGGAAGGAATTTCTGAAACCACTACAGTTGTGCATATATAGGCCTATTTTTGCTGTTGTTCATATTTTCTTTTTCCACCATTTACCACTGTAGTATCCTGGCTGGCTTGCCAAAATGGGAGCTTGATTCTTTACAGTAGGTGTCTGTGATTTGTTGGCGATAAGGTTCAACAATAAACAGACAGCACACAATTCACTTGTTTTAAAATAATATATTCAAAACAAGTGAAACGTATGTACAAAAAATTCTTTACACTATAGATTATCACAGTTGTATCCAGAGCTTTAAATAATTGTCTCCTTTTCATCAAAGTCCACACACGCAGGTTCAATTACCTTAGAATGCCCTTTGACAAGACAAATTATTCTCCTCTATCTCTGTTATTACAATACAAGCTGTGAAACTCACTTTAGAAATTAGCCATTACAGCTAAACTGACAATCATGCAGTCTAGCTTCACCTTTACTTTCACTAACTTAACTTGCTTTCTGTATCTGCACTTATTTATAACATACAACAGAAAAATCTAGAAATATCTAGCACTCTAGTACCAACATTACACATAATGAGAAAAAATTAGAAGCTCTGAGTAAGATGATATCAACAATATTAAAAAAAAATCTAGTACAACAATTAAACTACATACACAATGTATGATTTATACAGTTATGTAACAAAACTTGTCATAATCATTGTTTTAAAATAATTAACTTTTAACATCCTTGTAATGAAAACTAAATAATAATAATAATTAAATATTAAATCACTAAATAATTCTTAAACTGAACCGTCTTGTAAAATCCAACAAACCTGTGCATCTTGTGCAATATTTTTACATGTATTATAAAATATTGTATTCTTTAATTTATGATGTGATCTAATTCTCAATGAAAAATACAGATTTTTTTTCTTCAATGTTTCTTGAATTGTGTTAATGAACAATGCAGCACGTCTCAAGCATGATTTAATATGAAATAATTTTTATATATTATATTCAGAAAAAATAAAAAGAAACACACTACTGGTTTCTGCCTTAACAGTAGTGCTGAACATGCCCTCCCCGAGATCATTCCTAGACTGTACTCTGAATTCATAGGCAGTCTCTGGATCTAGACGATAGAGAGTGAAAGTTGTAGCACCATCTGGGACACTCATCGTACGCCAAGGATTCTCTCCATCTGAGGCGATCCGGTACCTGGAAGTAACAGCATAAAATACTTTGAGGTTAAAGAAAAAATATTACATTATTGACAAACATACCTACCTCTAATTGTGCTAAACATCTAAAACATTTATATGAAAAAAAACATAAACAACTACTGACAAATAATAAAATGTTTCTATTGCTAGCTGAATAATCCACAAAAGAACTGAAAGAATGTTAAAATATTTGAGGTCAATTAATTTATTTTCATATACTTGTGTATAAGTTCAATATTGGAGTAAAACATAATAACCATTGAAGACAAATTGTAAAAAACCAAAAATGCTTGTGACATGATTCCATCATGTGATTTTATGTAGACATAGGATTAAACAGCAACCCTAGATTACTCACACTGTATACACATAAAAATGATTAGTTTTTTTTGTACATTTATATATGCCAAACATTTTAAAAATGTTTCGAAATTTTATCTAGATTGTTTTCCTATGTCTGAGTACTTGGTGTAGACTTCAAAATGTTCTAAGATATCCTGAAGTGTGGGCAAGCAAATAAGACATACTATTTCCTCAATATTTTGTTGGTTTCTTGTTAAACACAAAGCTACATAATAGACTATATATGCTCTGCACATTGCTGGTATCAAAACCTAATTTTTAGTATTACAAGTCCTCAAACCTAATACTGAGCCCTTAGTGTGGGCTTCCTTAACAAACCGGCAACATCTGGTTTTTAGAAGAAAATTTCAAAATCACTTCTTTTGAAGAATCTTAATTTCTGACTAATTTTTATCAATTATAAATAGGTGTATAATCAGCACTTTTCCAATAATTCCTTACGTTGTATAGCCATTTCTTTTGTAAATTGTTATAAACTTAATGAAAGTTAACACTTAACAAACAAGCAATGTTCTAATCTCAAGAAATTTTGCCCTAAACCCAGCACTTTAGAGATTTTGTTTAGAAGAATGAACAACAAAAGGGTGGCACTACAAGTTGGGGTATACTGATATATATGATACATATACCTTGATTAGCTGAGTGCTCAATGTAGTTTTCTGATTCTGAGGTGATATTTAGTACTAATACAAGGAACAAAATTAACCCATGCCTGGTGCAATATGGTTGTATTTATTATGTCAGACACCTGAAAATTTAAAAGGATGTGCCTAACTGGCATGAAAAATATTGTAAATAAAACAATAATGTTGTTTCTGCTTATCATAAAGCAGAGTATATTCTGAATTTAAATTAAGGCTTCATTTGTTTTGTACCACGAATGTATAAGTTCATAGCCAGAAGCTTATCCCTTTGCTTATATTGTCTACTGACTAGAAGATATGTTGGCAATTTCTACACACTGCCAAATATACCATACAACTGTTATCTAATCTGAATTAATATTCAGAATGGCCATGTACAGAAAATTAATGAATTTACAGGATACCACGTGAAATAGCAACCTCAGCTAATGTTAGTTATGAAAATCCTTTTGAGGACCTATATAGATTGGAATGCCTTTTATATCTTGCTTATTACTATAAACAAAGATCTTAGTTAATGGCATACAAGTCTTCAGTTAGATCTCAACAGGCTCAGTAATAAACTTGAAGATGTATAATGTTATAAGTTTATGCATATTGTGTTCCAACCCAGCTAAATGTTTATATGCATAAATATATATAAAATAATCATTAGTATTATTATTATTACTTTTACTTGCTTTATACTATATATACATATGTCTAGACATACCTAAGGTAACATTAGTAGCAGTAAAAAAAATGCAAGTGTCATAATACCAACCAAAAGGCCTAGATACAGGTCTTAGCAATATTGATGGAGCCATGAAAGATGGTTATCTAAGCTACATAACACTTTTTGATTCCAATATGGAAGTGAGGCTTCCTGTTAGTTTACAGTTCTATGAATTCACAAAATCAAGACACTAAATGTAAGCCCCAGTCATATCATATATATATATATATATAATTCTGATTTGATATGTCTACTTATGACAACTTAGATCCCAAATCTAGATCTCTCCACAGCTAGGTTAGCTTACTTAATTGCTCTATGTTTCAGCCATAGATGTGGTGATATTTTCCCGATGTAGAAAACCCCCAAACCTGAAGTTGGCTGTGATAGTGTTGGGCATTCGTTATGACTATTCATGCATATGAAAAAAAAACACACAAAAAAACTAATGCAACTTTAGTTGGGGGATGAATTTGTTTTTTTTTTGCTTCTGTGGGGGTGGAAAGAGGGTTGAATTTGTTTCTTGGATCTCAAAAGTCTTTTCTGGCACCTAAGCATTTTGATGAGTGTGCCAAGGTGGTATTTAACAAAAAAGTTAATTTCATAACTAGCAACAAAACTGGTAATAATTTCAAATTTTTTACTGATCCACTGACCATATTATACTTCAATCAGCTGACCTGAGGAACTTTGGTATTGTATGAAAGGCCTTGTCAACAGTGGAATAAAAGAAAGAAACAAAGTATTAGTTATCTGAAATTCTCTTACCACTGGAAACCTGTACTAAGTCAGCAAAGAATGATGTGATTTAAATTACTATCTATCTTATAGTGAATTTGTACCAAACACTTACCACTTCTAAATATTATGCTCCACCAGGTCAGACTTTCATTAACATAAACTAAGGTTCTAGAAATTAAATAAATCAACAACATTATATATATATTATACTGCTTGATTCACTCATGAATACAAGAAATATTATTCTATGTAAAGATTAAAAAAAATATACTTACCAAATAACATACGATTGTGTATATCCTCCATGATATGCTGGAAGCCAAGAGAGAGTGGCAGCGGAAGCACTTGTGTTCACAGTGACATTGGTAGGAGAATGTGGCGTTGTGCCTGAAATATCCACTAGTGATATTAAAGACAATATTATAGAAAGTAATAAGCTGATTAACAGACAATAAATGTTCAACCAATACATTTTTCTGAAACTTTATTAATACAATTCAGAGAGTTTTAAAATCTCATCCAACCTAGAACATTAATAATCACTAAGTTGACTCTTAAGCACATCTACATGTTAATTTATAATTTATATACACTGACTCAAAAATTGAGATTAGCTAGAGTATACACAATTAATCTGTTTAACAATAAAATATGCACATATATTATGCAGAATGTAGAACTCTGTTGAGTTAATGTAGTATTTTTGTTTTTTTTCAGTACAGGTAGATCTATAAAATAAATATTACCCACATACACAATCAAGGCAAAGGTGGTAAAGATAGTTGTACATGTTATCTTGTTGATTAAAATTGTGTTATGTTATTTGAATCTTCATCAAATCGAAACAAAGCAAAATTCAAACTTTCTTGACTAGCTATGTTACATACTCTTATGCAAATAATAAAGCTCATTACATATATCTGTAGTTTAATTTTGGATATACAAGCTGGAGGACTGAAATCTGACTATAATTCTAATAATGGCAAATTTAGATTTTACTCTCATTATTTCAGGAAAATAAGCCACAATAGAAATCTTATGATAAGAAATATATGTAGCTATTGGAATTTATTATAAGATGATAACTAACAACAAAATATTAAGACTGTTACTCAGCTTTCGCGTGTACAGATTTCTGTGAATTTATGTGATTAACCTTAATACATCATGTGTCTAGTTCTCCTTCCTTGAAACTTGTGTATACTAATAGTATTCTCCTTCTTTGCAGACTTCATTCAGTGAACATAAAAAAACAAACATTTGTAACACTATGTTTTTATAGTAAACAGAAATGATATCAAAACATGCTATACATATGCACAAAAGTTACCAATTAGTTAGTCATAGGAGCTCTTCGAGTACCAGATGAGAATCTCTTCAACACTGTATGATATTATAGATTTCAAGAACATTACATAAGGCATTTTTTATTAGTTTTATAAATTTTCAAACATTCATTAACTTTAAATACTACTGTTTATAGTCAGCAGTTATATAAAGTTTGAATACGTCATATGAAAATAACCTGAACAGGAAAATCAGCAAGTTACAGGACAACCACAGCTGTTATAGAGTTGTGGTGGAATGGCATGAACCAGAACTACATTAGAATTATCACTTTGGGGGAAGGGTATGTAACAGCCCTTTCTGATGCAAAATAGTCATACACTCAGATAATAAAGACGTGTTCAGATCAGGAGTTAGAATTTACAACATGAGGATATTCCTTTTACTTAATATCATTGGAAAACAAAGAAATATGGATCAATTTAGGGCTTGCAGAAAGTTATTCCTCAACACTGTTATGCAAAACATGACAGGTGAGAAGCTGCGAACATAAAGGCTGTGTCCACATGTCCCTGGCAACTGTATTTCACATAATCAAGAAGGATCTCTGTCCTGTAACAGGTGAGAAGCTGCAAACATAAAGGCTGTGTCCACATGTCCCTGGCAATTGTATTCCACATAATCAAGAAGGATATCTGTCTTGTAACAGGTGAAAAGCTGCGAACATAAAGGCTGTGTCCACATGTCCCTGGCAATTGTATTCCACATAATCAAGAAGGATCTCTGTCTTGAAAAGCAATACAAATCATGTGTACAAGAAGTTTTTTTCCCATGCTACATCCATTCAACTATCATGTATACTTCAAGCAGCTGGAGAATGAAATCAGTATTCATGCTTTTCCATACAAAGACATACCAGTCAAGTCACAGTCAAATCAGATTGTTGATATGGGCACCATGAAATCATTATCCTCATACACGGAGGAGATGTGTGGTTTGGACTTGACAATAATAGAACCCTTTGCAAAGGAAGTTATGGTGCAGAGCTATTGTTAAGTTGTATGGTCATTAAATAGAACATGATTAAATGTGGCAAAATGAACTGTAACAATTAGGGGTGACACAACATGTTTTGCCACCCTGTGCAAATGTACGTGCTGCAACCCTGGTCCAGCCAGTCCCAGTAACAATGTGGTGAGGCTCCAAATTCATTTTAATACAACATAATCATCCCCTGTATAATTCATTGTGGAGTAATTAAAGTCCATTTATAGAGGTTTGACTATCATTCTAACTACATTTTGTAGTTTTAGGTTTAGTCCACCATACACACATATATACGACACTTAATTAATCACTCTTCATTTGTCATACTATTCATATAATTTCAGAAATCCAGACTTTTTGTTGTTAATGGTTCACTCTCTCAAACAAGATTTGATTTGTAGATTGAAATAACACTGTTTTCATAAACTCATATATCAAACTTTCATTAGATAATTATGTTTCAAAGTTCACAATAATTTTGAATAAAAAAAACTAATCTGGCCATCAAACATCACACTTGTTGGCACTGGATATGGTGTGGTTGATATACTGTCATATACTCTACTTTCACTCAGCTGGAAATGATGTATGGTCAAAACAACTAATCTGGTTCAAACATCATACTTGTTGGCACTGGATATGGTGTGGTTGATATACTGTCATATACTCTACTTTCACTCAGCTGGAAATGATGTATGGTCAAAACAATTAATCTGGTCATCAAACATCACACTTGTTGGCACTGGATATGGTGTGGTTGATATACTGTCATATACTCTACTTTCACTCAGCTGGAAATGATGTATGGTCAAAACAACTAATCTGGTTCAAAAAAATTTATTTTCATGTCAACATCCTTAACAATCTCCCTGCTACTGTCGTCACAGTGGATGTGTCATTTTCAAGCAAAAGCAAAAATTAAAACTTACATTTAATGGAAATAATTCAAAGATTAATGATATTATTCTCTTAAGTATACATGTATAAATAATAAAATATTACTTTTAAGTCCTATAAAACAAACTGACAAGTAAATAATGTCATAAAATCTATAATTATTAGACATACTGAATTATTAGTTGAGTTACCTTACTATTAACAACATTTTTGAATATAATTCAAATATCTTCTCATGAGACTCGGAGCCGTTTAAGAGACATAGGTTAGTCCTAAGTTTATTTGCTAAGCTAACAATACAAAATGATTTTTATAAGGGTAAAATAAAAAGACTAATATTCAAAAGTTTTTTAAGCATTATAACAGTTAGTTGGAATTGATAAACAGAGAATTGAAGAAGGTCAACTATACACTACTCTCATAAATTCTTAATTATATAATTAATATATAATTATTATATATTATATAATTAATTATATTCACAGCTTTTTTCTGATAATGATGTTCTAAAATTGAAATGGGACATTTAAATTTAAGTAAACTGTGATGAGCTATATTTAATTTGCAAAGAAAATTAAAACTGTAAATGAACCGTGATCTGTTACATTTAGAACAGCATTTTTAAATAAAAAAAAATCCTTATAACAAGTGCTTTCAAAACATGTCATTGTGAACATGCACAATATTTAAAAATTAATCAATTTCTTTCCATTCAAATAAAATAAAATGTGGTTAAACGAAAAAAACTTTAAGGAACAGCAAATTGTAGGGACAGTAATTTATTCAAAGACTGTGATATGAAAACAGATATTAAAGCTCAGTAATACCTTCAATAATAATCATGGTGCTAGTCACGAGAGTGGCAACATCATTCTCAAGTACACATTCATAATAACCATGGTCTTCTTTGTGTAAGTTGTGGATTGTCAGATTTCCTCCTTGCCGACTGGATCTTTCTCTTGGAAGTCTACCACCGTCTGCCTAAACAGAATGTTTATTTCAATAATAAAAAGTACACATTTACAATGTGTTCCACTGAATCTTCAAGTTCTGTAGAGTTTAAGAAATACTCCATGAAGGTTCCTTATTTTTTCTACATTAAAACATATAGAAATAAATAGAATTGTAAACATATCTTAAACACGTATACAAGTATAATAAATTATCAAAAATATTGATTTAAGATACTGCTATATACAGTTACATAATACACTTTAAAATTGATTCAAATCCATATTAAAAATAAAGCATTAAAAAAGCATGTACTATATTTGGAGAGCTTTAAATATCTGTGAAATCAAAAATTATAATCTCAGTTATGTGTAGTTAGCTTTAAGTTTTCATCATCACTTGGCAATACTAGCATAATATTCTGATTGATAGCATACTCTTCCCTCTCTGCATGGTTACCTTTCAAGACCTTTAATAATAACATATTATACTTCAAAAATTTAATTCAAAGCATGCTCGGACTTTCTACCCATACAATTTAGAGTCAAAAGTTACCAAACAAGGTGAATGGGCTTGTTCTTATAATCACAGTAAACATTGCAAAAAATATTTATTTTAAAACATTTGACCTCTGTGGGTTAAAGGAAAATTTATACTAGTGTTGCCAAGTGATGATGAAAAATGAAAGCTAACTAAGATTATAATTTTATAAATTAAAATAAAATAACATATAAAGTGTTTGTGAAAATTTTGTTCACTGAAGATTTTTGTGTGCAAATAATCAACCAGGTTCAGCAATATCTTTATAAATACATGGAACCTTTTGATTTAATTACATGAATAATACATAGTACAAGTAAATTCATGACTGAAATATTACAAGTGAGATTGTACTAAGCACCGATTTCACACTGATTCTTTGGAAGTAAGAAAAGACACTACATTACATATCTGTGAATAAGCTAATTCAAGTTCATTGATGAACAAAAGAGAGTAATCTGAAGTTGTTGCTATTCAAAATAGTTATGAGTAGATGAATCAATACACATATAAATTTTCCTAATTGTCCTTGCATCCAAATTGCTCAATGTATTTGTCTAATGTTTTTATTGACATCTGTTTTGTTTTTCTGTTGTTGCTAAGTGTTAAACTACACAATGAGTTATCTGTAGTGCGTTCATTATGAGGACTGCATGAACTCCAATTTATAACATTATAAGTCTTCAAGTTTATTACTGAGCCTGTTGAGATCTAACTGAAGACTTGTATGCCATTAACTAAGACATTTATTTATACTAACTAGTTTCTTGCTTCTGACACCTAAAGTGCCAAAGAGCATCCCAGTATGCTTCTCAGCATGTCACAATCAAAAATTATTCTTTAAACTTCTCTTCAATATCTTTCAAGACTAAAACCACCAAGTTAGTTATATACAACAATATGAAACTATTGTTATGTAAAATACAGATACAACTCTGAGTCATCTTCATTATTATGCATGAAAAGATATGGATTGTTTCTCTTCCAGTGTCAAATCAGCCGACTACTTCAAAGGTAACAGGGCCTGTGAACTCTAACTATACAGTGGTAACCAGTGCAGCTGCAGCAAACAACCTAGTAATGCTTGTCGTAGTGAAGTTGATGATCGAGCATTTTGACCTCACTGAGATGTTGTGACTTTCAAAGCATATTGTCTACTTATGCAGTATTCTCAATGTGTTGTCACAAGTTCATTCCAGAACCCCTCAAAGAACTTGTGTACCAGAATCTACTCAGGATCTGATAATGTACACAATAAAAGGATATGCTTAGTTTCCATGCAGGTATTACAGACAATTTAAACAAGTGGCTAAGTTTGTGTGGAACCTATCTTTCCAATTTTTAACTTAGCCATGTGGACAGCTTAATTCTCTGCAGGTTTGAGCCTTTGTTAGAAGTTAGCCATAACTATGTCTCTGTTACTGAGTTGCCACTTGTTTAAATACTCAGTCAAGTGTAAGATTATCCAAACTCAGCAGAAATTGTTACATTACCTGTCCTTAAGTCATGCTATATCTATTCCAATAAAGTTATTATCCGAAATGCTTTAAGAAAAGGTCTAGGTCCTTCTTATGAGTACTTGTAAATGTTGGTGGAATAGCGTGTTTTACAATGCCATCATTTTTACTGTGATGGCAAATACAAGTGCCCATTTTTGACTTCTTGCCTGCCAATGTAAATAACATTAAAGACACCAGTTCATCTCAGTACATGGTAGCTCTAAAATTAAAAGTACACATGGCTCTTGCTCTTTACCAACAGAAGTATGTGTCATGGTTGTGTAATATGTCATCCAGTTGCTGTGGTTGATCATGAACCTCCGGATGTCCTATGGTGTATCTGGAAATCTAACTTCCTGATATGGAAGGTCTTTGATCATCTCATTGGTCACCAGCTTCCCAGAAAGATACTTGCTCCTCCAGCTGGTGGTGGAGTGGCTCCTCCTGGTAGGTTTCATTATCCAGAGGCATATTGAGTTGTCTTCTGGTGACTCCATTGAGTGATGTGGTTAAGCTATATTGATTGGTGAGCACCTTGGTCACCTATAGAAACCATCTATTTGATTTCTGAATCCCCAGATGATTCATTATTACGTCCACCATATCTAATGGTCAACTTTTCCCACAAGCTGGGGATTATTCTGGAAGAATGAAAGCTTGAAAGATCCCTGGATGCAGCTCAACATCCTATTCCAGAGGCCAGATCAAGGACATGAATGTAGCCTTATGCATCTGCAATGAAAGATTCTCATCTAGAAAATGGCTTCTCCTGTACTGTACAACATTCTTAGTTCTCATTGTGATCTCAGTTGCTGTTCCCTCCTCTCCACCTTAATTAATTCTAGGGAAAGAATTTTCCATCTTTACAGTATAAAATCTAATAGTACAAAGCAAAAAAGCATAAATAGAAAACAGAGAAGGCCATTTGAACTTAAGTATAAAAAAACACATTCTTGGTCATAGGATCAAAACTGTAACTTAATAACTTATTCTGTGGTATTTTATAGTAAAACTAAGCCAAAAAATTAGTGACAAGAGGAGGTTCTGAGAATTTGTATCCAGAGCCTGAATAAGTCAAATTCAATCATAGGAAATATAGACCCTGTTCTTTCACTCTGAAAAAAAAATCTAAATCTTGATTTACAAATGAAACAATCATAATCAAAACCAATTGAAATAGTTGCCTTCTCTGTGAATGGCACTTATAGGTCAAATCTGGGCAACTGCACTGGATAGTCAAGAAGATGAATCTGACAATGTTTTATCTCTGTATAGTATTACATTCAGTTCAAAGTCATTTGAAAAATTCTAGAATTCCAAGTAACACACATTATGACATTAATCCCACTGAAAGGGAAAAGAAGAATGAAATTAATCAACATTCTTATCTTACTACGAAACGAATATGTTAACCAAGCTATTCAGGCCACCTAGATAATGTGACCAACACACATATCGTGAGAAAAGATGTGTTTGTCCCTGGACTGACCTTCTGCTACTCGTAACAAGATTAACATTAATATTAGTACAGGCTGAGACCGAGCATATCCTGCTTAAATTGAACATCGAGGTACACCTACTGTTGCTGAAATTTAGAAAAAATTAACTGAATACATCAAATAAAGGTTTATTCATTTAGTTATGAAAAAGATTACAGCTATAGTATTTACATACAAGGTGATAATAAAGACCGTTTTGCAATTCAATATGCCATATCTCACAAATGGTACAACATACGCAGGTGACATTTCACATTGTTGTTAAATATATCACGTGGATGAAAATGCTACAGTTGTTACATGTTACAACCAAGACCACCACTTTGATTTCTTTTGCACATTTCCTACTTTTGTAAATGGGTCCATCGATTGTCACTCACATGCTGCTGGAAGGAAATGTGACAGATAGTATGGTTTTCATGCAGGATGGTAACCAGGTGAAACATGTTATGCTGGAGCACTTTCAGGACAAAATCACTTTCCTTGTGAATGGCCACCTCATTCACTGGATCTAATACCATTAAACTGCTGTTTGTTAGAGGTACCTGAAGTCAGTGGGTACCGTGAGAAGCCTTATGTAATTCCAGATCTCGAGGATGCATTTTACAAGAAAGTGATTAGTATACCAGATAAGACGCACACTGTTGCTGTAATTTCCATTGTCACATGAATGTAATGCATTCTGGGATACTGGAAGAGTACATTTTGGCCAGTTGCTGTGATTAGGATATATTGGCACACCTTGTGGCAACATGTGACAACTGCATCCATATGATACCCTTTACACCACTGTTCAGTTTCAATTTCTTAGCAATATCATTTAAAAGGTATGATGTGCTGAAATGTAGTAATAAGTGCTGTTATACATTATATTTCAAAATGACTAGAAGAATATAAAATGCAATCATTAAATATTCTATTTTAGGTATAATATTATATATATAAATAACTTACAGTAAAAGCCAGCTGTTCATTAATATTTCTTTTTATATGGTTAATGATGGAATTTCATCAATCTTTCTATATAGAGATGGTTTTGTTACTTACTCTTCTCCACAATATAATAGGTTTAGGCTGTCCTGTTCCATCACAAGGTATGGTTATTTCACCACCTAAGAGACTCTGGTAGATTCCTTTTGGTTTTACAGTAAACATAGGAGGCTCTGAAAAATAAGATCTTATATAAATAATAGATAGAGAAGTGGAATGAAAAATAATAATTGGTAACTAGTGTGAAACATAAATTTTTATTAATATATATAACCAGTGGATTATCAAAAGGAATTTTTTAGAATACACATATGATATCACAGGTAAAATGTAGGCTATACACATGGAGATTTATACCACAGAAAATGTAAAATACAATATTATATTTTATTTAAAATGAAAAGTTTACGATCAGGACTTAAGAAATTAAGAAAAAAAAATCTTGTTGGAAGGTGAAAACCACAGAGTAGATAACAGCAACGTTGCCGTGAACTTCTTTTTAACACTGCACCACAAATATCTTGAGTTCAGTGCACTTTACAGTAAAAAGAAAATTGAATGTTTTTAGTTATTTAATTCATGTCACATTTTCTTCAGAGCAGATGCTATAATTTTCTGGCCAGTGGAAAGATTTGGGCAAACAGAATTTAAAGTTTTAGATAACTTCCTTTAAATATAAGAAAGTACAGGGACAACTTCATCAGCTACAACTGCTCACCATTATATTGATCAAGTTCTCATAATGTGATAAAGAATGCTAAAGAGAATCTCATGAGAATATTATGTTAGTTACTAATATCAGTATTTTCAACTAAATACTAACACAGCTTAAAGTTAACATAGCATTAAATCTATAAGTTGACTTTTCTGACATTCAAGAGAACTAACTAACAGGACATAACTATTAAACTCGTCTTCACTCAAGTAAAACATATATTGTAACAAATCTTTGCAAATACAATTATACAATGACATTTGATCAGTTTACACAGTAGCAAATGCAAAGTTTCATTCTTTTATTTGGTTGAACACCATAGAAAATATTAAAAACCCTCAGTTTTAGTTTGTCTTTGACTGTTACGACTAATCAAGAACTTGAAACTTATTAATCTGTATTAAAAATGCAGGGCCTGGCACAACTTGGGGTTAGGGCACAACTTACAATCTGAGGGTTGTGGGTTGAAACCCCTCACCAAACATGCTCGTCCTTTTAGCTGTGGGGGGCATTATAATGTGACAGTCAATCCCACTATTCATTGGTAAAAAGTAGTTCAAGTGTTGGCAAGGGTTGATGTTCAATAGCTGTCTTCCCTTTTGTTTATCACTTCAAAACTAGGGAAAGTTAGTGCAGACAGTCCTTGAGTAACTTTGTGTGAAATTCAACAAAAAATAAAACAATGAAACATGCAACTAATACATTAAATTGTATCATAATTCATCACCTTGTGAGATTCAAAAATCAAGTAATAAGACAGTGTTACATGTATGTGTACTGTTTAATTAATAATCTTTCTGTGAAGTACAGATTATGAGTACTGCCAGAATGAAAGAATTAGCACAAAATATCAAGTAGAAATTCAAAAGATCCACAAACTTGAATGCTTTTGAATAACTGACTATTCTTCTTCAAGCGTAAAAAAAAAAAGAGATTATGAGTACAAATATCACCCTACAAGCTCTTAATAAAAGATTTTTATTTTTAAAAACTTTGAGTATTGTAATTCTAAAAAAAATTTTACGTGACAAAACAGATATTACATTACTTGCTATATTCTTTGTTTATAGCTATATTTATATTTTTTCATGATTAAATTGGTCTTCAAATAGATAAGCATGACTTCTGGGAAATACATGAAACAATTAATTTCTAGTCACATGAATAAAATCTAATAATTGAACTTCTTACAAAAAATTAATTGTTTCTTTGTTAAAATTACTTCATCTACACTATATATAAAGTAAATAATAGCACCTAGTATAAAAAAAAACTGCCTTTTTGGAAAAAATAGCACTTAAATCACTTTGTTTTGTTTCTGCGATGTAATACGTGGTATTCTCTAAATGTTTTAAAATCATCTTTGATATGCTTGCAGAGCAATATCATCACAATGATCAGCTAAATATTATAGACTACTGACTGTTATATAGTGGTGGTAGCCTAACAGATCAATACGGGAATTAACAATACATTCTATATGCTCTTCTAGGGTCTAATATATGGAGGTGTCAGTGGCCACTACGTTTGGTCATATATCAAGGTTGATTAGAGTCAACCATAGTGCTTTATTGGAGGTGTTAGCTATAGCTCTTGCATCATGTTGAATGGAAGGCATAGCTTGCTGATCAAACATAACAGAAAGGATTTAAAAGATAAATAATAATAGCTGTGATGTAATTTTATGATAAATAATAATAACTGTGATGTAATTTTAAGATAAATAATAATAGCTGTGATGTAATTTTAAGATAAATAATAATAATACTGTGATGTAATTTTAAGATAAATAATAATAGCTGTGATGTAATTTTAAGATAAATAATAATAACTGTGATGTAATTTTAAGATAAATAATAATAGCTGTGATGTAATTAAAAGGATAAATAATAATAGCTGTGATGTAATTTTAAGATAAATAATAATAACTGTGATGTAATTAAAAGGATAAATAAT